AGGGGATACTGGCATTTCTGAAATGCTGCCAGCAAGAATAGTGCAGCAGATCTGCACAGAAAAATGTTGCAGATTACCTGTCTACCTTATGCATGCTGGAGTCAGTCGCCAGCATTAGCTCCCATTTCCATGTGGAACTGTACAGAGAAAAAAATGAGTACTGATCTGACTTTCCTCCTTTATCTGAGTTAATAGCTGTCAGGCAAATGATCGGGATAAAGACTAGAAAAAGTCAAGAGATCTCTCAATTAAATAATATGTTTAGGCCCTACTATGTACTTCTAGACAGAGGCAGAGTGAATGAAAAAATCAGAGCAAGTGATGGAGAGATAAGGAACTGCAGACAGTGTGTGCATGCAGACCTGTGGCAGAATTTTTAGACATATCTGGCACTGTCCTTATTGAAGCTAATCATCAAACTGTCACTGACTTCAGCATGTGGACAATAAACTGATGTTGTTATTTAGAAAGAAGGTGATACCCAAAAGACTGCAAGGCTGAATGTGATAGTGATCACCAGAAGAGGAATTCTGTCAAAAGCAGCTCACAATCTGAGAAGGAATGATGCATGGAAGTACAATCTGCTGGCTAATTTTAGTTTATTCTTAAGAATAAAAAAAAATGGAAAGATATAAATACTGCCAAGTCCAAATCTGCTTAGAATCCCTCAGTATAACCTGCTGCCCTCTGTGCATATCTTTCTGATCTCAGTTACTTTAATCCAGGGAAGCTTCGTCTCAAGTCACCACCCAAGGGAGTAACAAATGTCAGTTGCCTAGTGAAGGAGACCTTTAATTTCAGATCTAACACCACAGTGCTGAAAACATCAAGCTTTTTTTACGTACCCACTTAAGAAAGTGTACTAGCTACTTCTTGCTGAAAGTGATCATAATGTTTCACTGTTCTGTCTTTTGTTAGCTGAAGAACAAAATTCCTCTAAACTAAATGCAGTGCCTTCAACATTGTCTCTTTTTGTTAGAGATTTCTCTTAGGTAGCATGTTATGAGAGACAACAGAACACAAAAGAAGAGCTAGCTGCAAAGCACCAGATATACTGACAGTGCCATGTTCCCATAAAACATTAAACAAACAAGTGGTGAAAACCGATTCTCCTCATGCAAGAAGTGACCTCAACACCAGTGTGACACACCACCCTGTGACAGAAACAGACCCAGAGAGTCACTGAAGGGCTGCCTTGGCCCTGGGGCATAACCAGGGTGGGGGAACAAACAGAGGGAGTGAGGGAAAGGAGAGGAAGGGGGGGGTTAGGCTTTCTCAGTCCTACTTATACCTCATTTCCCACTCCTCTGCCAGTTTTCTCTCCTTACTTTACCGTTGCGCTGCTGCAGGTTCTCCAAGGGATGCTCCACTGGGGATTAGGAACGGTGCTAACATTATGGCAGGGTTTGGGAGATGGATACTACAACTCCTTATGTGCTCCTGGCAAAGGTAAGATCAGGAAAATGTTGATTCTGTCACCTCAAGGAATTCAGCTGAGACCACCCAGTAATGGACAGGCCACCAAGCTACCAGAAATGACTCCAAGGGAATGACCGTCTTTCCAGTGGGTGATTTTAGCCCTCAGCCCTCCTGGAAGGCAGGCTGACAGTGACTTTGGCAGTTCATGCTGTGAGGTAACGGCAAAGCTTCACCTAAAAGCTAAGGACCACGCTAGCTTTTATTGTTTTGGACTAGATGAGCCATTTGGGCTTCTGACTTCCAGTGCTGAGCCTTAACAGCTGTTTTAGATGCATTGCTGATGCTGGGTTTTCCAGCCTGTTTCTTAAGCCAAGAGTACGTACAAATGTTAAGCACAGGGAAACATCTCAGGCATTTCTTTAGCTGAAACGGAAGCTCTGGGCCAGCAGCACCCAATGGCATGGCAAGGCCGTGCAGTGCTTGGTTCCCAGTAAGCCAGCTCTGGCAAAGCGAGCAGTGTAGTTGTGTCAGCACGGCACTGTGCCCAGCATAAGCAGTCTTGGCACAGGGTTGAATGGATGTGATTTAATACTGCGTTTTTGCACCTGAGCAAAATAGTGTTGCTTACGATGCCCGTGTATATCTGTTCTTTTGAAGCTACTCTGGAGCTAGCTTGCATGCACTGCATTACATGTGGCAAAACTGCCCTTAACCTCCCTGTTTGGGAAGTCGAGTCTGAGTAAGTTACCATCGGCCTTGCAAAAATCCGCATGAGTGCTCCATCACATTTTTTATCTCATCTAGAGCCTCTCATTTTTAGGAAGAGTACAAGATACAAGTTTAGATGTGCAAGGTTCAGTTCTTGGACCTTCACACCACTAGATCCAAACTTAAACCCAAACCAAAAGCCAGGTTCATGTCTGTCAGGCAAATTCAGCTGTGCTGAACTGTGTCTGCTAATATCGGCAGCGGACTGTACTGCAACAGCTGCAGTCCCAGTGGCTGATGATCTTCTAGGAACAAGCAAAGACTTGCTCACGTGTTTTCTGATTCCCTCAAGCCTAAAAAAGAAGCTTCTAAACAAAGATACACAGTTACTAGACATCCATTCATGGCCATGAAAGTCTTCCTGTTGATTCCCTCGTGCCTCAGAGGTGATCCACAGATCAGCCCAGGTTCTGTGGCTGGTTTCTCCTCAGAGAGCTTCACACACAGCTTCCTAACACTCCACAGTCAAAGGCTTTCTGTGTGCGTGTCAGAGGAGGGGAGGAAGTTATGATTAAATGCCTTGGGCTCCAAACCCAAATGCACAGACACTACTGAACAGCCCCTTTTCATCAAACCAACATTCTACAGCATCCATTCACTTATTGTTAGAAAGCAGCTCCCCTGGCATACTGAAATACCACAGCGACCTAAAACATATAAGCTCCCAATTACAGAAACAGTAGGAAAGGCATGAGACTGAACAAAGCTGCAGGTTGTAAACCTAGCAGACTAAATTCTGTTTTTCAGTTACAATGTGTGTGTATGTCTGGAGTTTCTTATTCCAGATTTATAGCACAGTATAATCCTATACAGAGTTATCATAATTCTACACAGAGGTATGCTGGAAAAGATATCAGCTGGTTTAAATTCATATAGAGAAACTTTTATTCCTGTCAAATTCTATGGATTAGGTTTTTAAACTGCTGGTCCTCATTTTGGGAGCTAGAAGAGGCGGGGTAGATTTTTCAAAGATGCTCAGCATGTTTGTGCACTTGGAAAACTGAGACGGGATTGTGACAGGCAAAAGCTGTGTGGTGTTGAGTTTTTTTGTTTTGTTTTTGGTTTTTTTAAATGGACTGGGCCTAAATATCTAAAAGCTAACTTGGGTCTTATGACAATGAGACCACGCCTATGGTTACACTTCGGTCTTGGCCCTGTACTTCCCCCGCAATATTTGAGGGATCTCCTCTGTACCTAAGCAGTATAATCTTTCACACCTGTTGGCACCACAGTTCCTTATGAACAGAGAATTTATTTAGCTGACTGAGGAGCTTGCTAAGGGAGCAAAGAGATCTTCTCTAGATATGGCAACTCATTTTTAGCCTGAAACAAGAGAGGTAACATTTTCAGCCTCGGGTCTCCACATGATGCAGTTGTTGCATAGTGTGCACTAAATGGGAGCATTACGATACAAGCCACACGGATCAAAGCTTGGACAAAAGGGAGAGGGCGTTGGAGAGAAATAGCGCCTCAATCATTCCAAATGCAGTGTTTCTGTATTTTCTGTGTTATCTGTGTTAAATGTGAGGTCTAACACACAGGCGTTGTCCCGAGATGTCTCAAATACAATGCTGAGTCTTGCTACCTGCTTTCCCACCCCTTCATGGCGTCAATAATCTCACCTCTTCCATTAACGCAAGGGGAGCAGATTTTCCACTGGCCTGACTAGGTGCAAGGGAGTTGGTTCCTGTCACCCCAGCAATCACGTGTCACCCCTCGCATAATGCAAGTTAAAATGAATGAAGTGAAAGGGTGAGCCTCAATGAACTTTTTGATGCACTAGTGCCACGTTGTAGCCTTGCTGCCCACCATTGCAGTCAAACTGGTATGAAGTTTGGACCAAGTGAGGGCATTAAGAGCAGAAAATGCGTAAGAAAAAATTATCAGCACAAGCATGTAAACTAACCATAAAACAAGGACTGAAGGCCAGATTCACCATATGTTATTCACATTGGCTGTCCCTTCTGAAGTGGAGCCAAAATGGGGTTTTTGGGATGAGAGAGAGGAGGTGTTTCAGATACTCTGCAAGAGTGAAAAGATTCTCTGGTCAAGAATGATAGTGGCTGATGTGCAATAAAGAAATGTTACAAAAATGACTAAGGAATAATTTAAAAACTATTCCAGGAATAAAAAGGTGAGTGTAAAAAATACAAGAATCATTTCTACATTCATCCAATCATTATTAATTGTAAAACTTGTCTCTTATAATCTGTCCTTAGAACATTGTTTTTCTTTCCTGGAAAACCTTATGATCCCCACAGCTTCTAAGATGTATCCATATGGTTCTGATGCTTACAGACATTAAGAAAAGGCCACACATTGCAAGGGATTATACATCTCCTTTACATTTATTTCATACATTTTTTAAGGATTTTTTTCTCAGATGTAAAAAACAGAAAATACTTAAGCTTGAGCAATTCTAGCCTTCAGTACATCACTTTAAATGTACAGTCTGTACATTAAAATGTACACATTTTCGCTCTGTGTGTTTATTCTTTAACCAGGTTTTCCTTCAGAACTGTGTTGCAGAAGAAATTAGGAATTCTTAGAAACGTATCAAGTTTACATTTTTTCCCCACTGTTTTTCAACCATTTCCAAATTCTTGGAATTACCCTAGAATGTGCCCTAGAAAACTACTGTGAAAAAGATCAGTTAGAGGAACATCTCAAAAAGAGAGAACCATATCCAACAGCAGACAAAATGATCACGTTTGTATTTGTACGAAGCATGATCTCCTAGATACCACTGTAAGAGTTTACAACAGCCTTTCACATTCCAAAACAAGCGGTGCAGCAGTATGGAAGATACTCACGATGTTCATGAGGGTGAGGAGGTAGTTTTGAACGTGTTCTTTGCCATGGAATCGGACGACAGAGTCATCCACACCTAGCAGCACCTCAATGTTGTAGTCGTCATCTCCTGCGTGCCTGCGTTGTCTCAGGGTTTCGTTCAGTTGCTGCTCTACACTGCTGTACAGGGAACTCAGGTCTCCAAGGCCACCAAGAAGAGAGTCTACAACAAACAGTAAGACAATAAACACCTAGTCCAATTCTATTTCAGAAACATCCTCCCGCACAACATCCTCACCTGTACAGTCACCACTTCTTTGGATAAAATAAATCAGGAACTCTGAAGAGATGATTCTAGTGGTGTAAGGGTAGGGGAAATCACCAGATACCCAATGAAAAAAATCATTCAACTGTATGGTTCTATAGTTTATCACATGGTTCTTATTTCAAGCATAACATTAGTCCCTAAGGAGATTTAGGACAAATACTTCATTTCCTAACCCAGAACTTTCCCCCTCCTTTTTTTGCAACACATCAGGCATGTGTTCTAGAGTGTCGCAGCATTCACTGGGGATGCTGTGCAATGCTGAACTTGTGGCTTTAGTGCTCAAAAGTAATGTGGTCAGCCCCAATTCATGTTGTAAAGATCTCAAAATCAGTGTTGTGTTTCCCCCTCATACCCCATCACTGGGACTTACTGTTTTTGTAATTCTTTGTTTAAAAAGTAGGTGTTGGAATATCCTCTCCTATGAATATGACAGAATACTAGAAGGCTCTCTTAAAGACACGGGTCAAGGGGCAGAGTTCAGATAAACCATTCTGAATTGGCTTTTAAGGGGATGCATTCAATGGGCTACATCTGCAATGACTCAAAAGCCATTTCTTCCACTTAGGACAGTAAAGCAAAACATCACCATGGATTTTTGACAGGAATAAAGTCACAGCTGTAGGCTACTTAGTTCTCCCTAAATCTAATCCAGCACACCAACAGGCCCTAAGCAATAAACAACAGTGTTCGGAACATCTTACAGTGTAACCCATTAGCTACGTATCACAGTCCTCACTATGAACTGGGCTGTTCTTGAGTCTCTGGCTCTGTGACAGAGTCAGGGAGCATCCCTGTTTCCCCACTCTTCCATTTAGGAGAAAGAGATGATAAAGCCCTTAATTACACAGGGGTCTTCCTGCTCTATGAGCCCAGTAAAAGCAACCAGCGTCCAATGGATAGAAAGGAGAGGGCAGTCCTGCCTGCCACTCATGTTGACTCGTATTGTCATGGGGCATTTCCCCAAATGACAGCACAGCTTTCAAGACCTTTTTTTCTGCGCTGGAGTTGATGAAAGCCAAGGCTGGAAGTACACAAACTGACCCTTTGCATGTTTTCAGGCAAGACTCCCAGTAAACTGGATCTAAGTTTTGCTTGTGGGAGGGCAGCAGAACATGGGCCAATGTTGCAAAATGTGCTGGATGGCCACGCTGTAATTCATCTTGAGCAGATTCAACTACTGGCTGAATGAGCTGGGAAGACTCTCCCTCCTAAGTATCACAGTGGTTCACAGCAACACATAAATAACTCTCCCCAAACCCCACATCAAATGGCAAGGTTGTTCCCAGTTGTTTTCATCTTAGACCGCCACTGTGGGTGAGAGACCAGGTCTGCAAACAGCTTTACAATTCAACCGCAAGTCCTCTCGCTCTCAAGAATGCGAACCCTGTGATAGCACACAAGTGGGAAATTCATAGACAAGCTCCAATTCTAAAAATTGCTGCAGCTGGCAAAGCTGCTGAGTGTAGTGTCCAACGGAAATATACTGGTAATGTCATCGTATCGCTACGCCCGCGGCATGAATGGAATAGCTTCAGATCGTTTCAGAAAGAACCAGCTATCTGTGCTGTGCAGCACCTTTGGTTTGGCCGTCACTTCCCTTCTTAAATAGGTGGTTTTGTGGTTCAAATGAAGAGGAGAATCTGATTTTTGTGTGCATGTGAGCAGGCAGAGCGAGTCAGAAAGGATTCCTTTTTTTCTACCCCTCTAATACATAGCCACTTTCTGCACACAGAGGGTATTCTCAATATGCCAATATTTTCCATGCATGCACCCACAGAATATTTTTCAATGTGCAATTCCAACAAAGCAAGAAAAAATAACCTCACTCTAAGAAGAAATGTAATGACCATTTTTGGCCAAGATTCGAAAAAAAGAAAAAGTAGCACTGGAAACATTTTCAAGCATTGAGCCTCCCACCTCCTGAAATGCAACTTGCATACTTCTTTCCACAAAAACCCCAAACCTCCCCCTTACTGGGCTCAGTGGTAAAAACCCAACCACTTCACTCAGCCTGGCATGCAGCGTATTCCACGAACTGTACCAGGACTTCTGAGGATATTAGGCAGCACCCACTTTAGCTACAGTTTTCCTGGTGCTGACTAGTTTTTAATTTTTTGTCTGCTGTTCTTGGCACTATGTAAGTACATTACTCCGTACCAGAAATGCTAACATCGGAAAACAACTGTTGACTTTGAGGCTGATTAGAGCTACTTATCAGCTTGTAATTACTTAGCAAGCCTCATTCTGTGTGTTGCTTTTCCCCAAACCTTGCTGGGAGGTGAAGCTGTGGGGGTCCTCTTGCTAATTGCACCCGCTATGCCCTATCCAAAAATTACAGGGTAATACGAGTAGTTTATCTGTTCTCTTGTTTGTCTGTTTTCCATAATCCAGCACTTTAATATCTTTAGAGACAAACCCAGGTTATAGGTACTAACAATAGCCCTGTTTGCAAATGCTGCAATCTGCTCCCATTTCCAAGCATTTAACATAACAGCAAACGGATGATGGCGTGACACTAGAGCAGCAGCACAAAGTGAGAAGGTGCCTACCTTCCTATAGCCCAGTCATTAAATCTCTTTCTTGGTGGCATTGCTCATGATTCAGCTGAGTACTAGGGCACTAGTGGAAATTTTAGAAGAGCTCACAGAGTTAATGAAACTTTTCATAGTATTAAAGTTTGTTCCAAATACCTCAGTCAACCTGAAGTTATTTACCGTAATCGATCGTTATTAAGTTTAGCTAATTCTAAAAAGTTTGTTCTGTGCTCACTGGCTTCAGCCGAGACATAGGGAAGGGGGATCAGCAGATATCCTTCCTGAGCAGCACAGAAAGCATCCTCACATGTGTTCTGTTCAGGAGATGGCATTATTATTCTTATAAATACAAAATACACATGCGTAATTCAGAACCTCCCAGGCAGGCAGACACACACGCATTAGATATTTTATCTAATCCACTCTATAGAAGGCTGTCCAAATTTGCATCTGGTCTATGCATCACTTTGCTCCAAATGAGACCAATAACAAAGCCAACCCCTACGCTCTACTGTGAAGTTGTAGTGAGAAAGTCTTCTATCTCCTTTCTGTGCTGAGAGCTTCCCGGCTTTGGAAGGGTGAGCTTTTCAGAACACCACAATCCCTACAATTCAGAGTTCTCTCAAAAATTTATGGATGCTGCAGCAGAAGGACACACTATGGAAAAATCTTAGTGCAGAGCTATTTACTGCAGAAGCAGTGCTAGTGCCAGTGAAGACATTGGCATTCTCTATTCAATTCATTCAGTAGGTACTTACAGGTACTCATAATAGCAGGGCCGAGTTCAGTCTGAATGCTTCTTGCACAAAATCTTTGTTAATGCAGAAGTAAGACTGTTGGCTGTGCTTGGCAAGACTTTCACAGACTTTCTGTATTGCAATAAATAACAAATACAACCATCCTTTTCCTTTCGACCCTCCCTCTCCCCAAAACCAAATTGTAAATTTGTAAATTGCTTTCTTCAGTCCAAATTGTGCACTCATACACATCTGCACATGCCTGCTGACTTCCAGGAACAGACAGACATCTGCACCCAGTAAATGGTTGTTACCCATTAGTAGTGCCACACACTGTTGGAACTCAGGACACAAAACACAGCTAAGCCTCTAGAGGTCATTAGGCAACGGTTCAGAAACACACGTGCTGTGACTTCCCTTGCATATGACTACAGGCTTTGCATTGGCATTTAAAGAAAAACGCATCATCATCTTTGCATGTTAATCCAGGGTTTAGGAAAACGTGAGCTGCTTGAAGCTACTATAACTCTACTGAGCACCAGCACTGCAGGGAGCTGGGCTTGTTCAGCCTGAAGAAGAGAAGGCTGAGAGGGGACCTTATAAATGCTTACAAATATCTGAAGGGTGGGTGTCAGGAGGATGGGGCCAAGCTCTTTTCAGTGGTGCCCAGTGACAGGACAAGGGGCAATGGGCACAAACTGAAGCACGGGAAGTTCCGTCTGAACATGAGGAAGAACTTCTTCCCTCTGACGGTGACGGAGCACTGGAACAGGCTGCCCAGCGAGGCTGTGGAGTCTCCTTCTCTGGAGATATTCAAGACCCGCCTGGACAAGGGCCTGTGCAGCCTGCTGTAGGTGACCCTGCTTCTGCAGAGGGGTTGGACTAGATGACCCACAGAGGTCCCTTCCAACCCCTACCATTCTGTGATTCGGTGATCTGCAAATACTTAAATCCAGGGGTGGTTTCAGCATTGAAATGAACAGTTTACATATTGGCAGTCCTGCAGATTTGTGAGCTGAATGCCACAGGAGTGTCTTTGGATACCCCCTTACCTGCATTTGGAGCTGCTGTCACCAGGTAACGGAGAAATCAATCTGTCCTTATAAAATTCTCTAGAGCACAGAGTAAGAAATTCAGACACTAGCAAAAGCTGGAGACTCCCTTCTTATGAGTGGGAAGAGATCACAGCAATACTTACTGAAGTGAATTATTTAAATTAGTCATTTGAAGACAAAGGTTCTTTGCAACTTAATCAACAAAACCTACTCAGCAGCTTTGAGTGCATTGTCTAACACAGTAGAGGCAGCTGTTGCTGAATGGCAATATTCTCTGTTACGCACAGAGGAAACTAGTCTGTTTATTTGTGGATTTGGGCTAGACAGACTAATCCTTCCTAATCTCATTCTGGAATTATCTGGTTCATTATCTCTTCCTTTTTTATTTTGCTAGTCATCTGCATCTTTTACATCATGACCTCACCTGTCAGAAAAAGATTAGCCCATGCTCTTTCACCAAGTGAAATGGTTATGCAAACATTTGGGTAGGAAGTCAAACCACACAGCATTGTATGCACATGTGCAGGTGTGTATTTTCTTTTTTTCACAGCACACATCAGAGCCTGTCT